GGATTCTTCCGTCCTAAGTGCAGGACTCTGCACATGTCCTTGTTGAACCTCATCAGGTTGCTTTTGGCCCAATCCTCTAATTTGTCTAGGTCCCTCTGTATCCTGTCCCTACTCTCCAACGTATCTACCACTCCTCCCAGTTTAGTGTCATCTGCAAACTTGCTGAGAGTGCAGTCCACACCATCCTCCAGATCATTAATGAAGATATTGAACAAAACCGGCCCCAGGACCAACCCCTGGGGCACTCCACTTGAAACCGGCTGCCAACTAGACATGGAGCCATTGATCACTACCCGTTGAGCCCGACGATCTAGCCAGCTTTCTGGCCACCTTATAGTGAGGGTGCTTACTTGGGGTTAGATGCTGAAGCCTTTATTAGTATGACTAATCTTCACTAATGCAATTCCTGCTTACGTCAATGAATAAGGATTGCAAAATTGGGCCTGTGGGTAGTCTATTTTCTCATGTCATTTTGACTTCTTTCAATGATTTGTTGCTCAGAACAGAAGGCGAAATTAAAAGTCTTGGGAATGCAGTGGCTTGCTAAGTATGGCACATTTAATGTAAAGTAATTTAAGTATGTTATTTCAGAAGTTTGATGGTTTAAAGATTCCATGGGGTCAGATGCTTCTCTCAGTGGAATTTACTTTGGTGTGAGTCAGAGGAGAATCAGGCCTCAGAGCACTAGGGATTTATACCTAATGAAGGTCCAGCCTCATAAATCATCTTGTGTGTTTGTCGTGTTCAGTGTCACATGGAGTGAATATAGCTCAGCTATCATAGAATCATAGAATATCAGGGTTGGAAGGGACCTCAGGAAGTCACCTAGTCCAACCCCCTGCTCAAAGCACGACCAACCCCCAACTAAATCCCCAAATCCCTAAATGGCCCCCTCAATGACTGAACTCACAACCCTGGGTTTAGCAGGCCAATGCTCAAACCAGTGAGCTATCCCTCTCCCCATGTTATATTTATCAGATGTCAAAAATGTGGCAAGTTGTATGTGGATAACTTTAATTAGGACTAGAAAGGTGAGAGGTCTGTAAGCTAACAAAAGAGAGAGAGAAATAGGAACAATTTGCAGATAGATAATTATCATTTATACTTGACAGAATTAGCTTTTTCGCTTCTGGTTAAGATAGTGTCATATTGACCTGACTTAAACAGACACATACTACCTATGCATTGCACCCAGTCTTGACTTACTTCTTCATGATTCTTTGACAGCAGACCTAATTCTTCTTTCATGCTTTCTATCTGACGCTCCAGATCCATTTTAGTTAAATTAGCATCATCAATCACTTTATATAGGGAATTAATTTCATCTTCCACTGCCTTTCTGAATGGCTGTTCATTTTCATATCTGCACAGAAAAATGTAGTAAGCATATGCATTCAAACTTGCATTTTGTAAATGATAGTGTAGTAACCCTGGCCCCAGCATCAGCACCTGCTATAGTTTTAAGTTAGAGGTACTATGAGGGCTAGGGTGACCATACATCCCATTTTGACCGTGACAGTCCCTTTTTTAAGCCCTGTCCCGGCCGTCCCGACTTTATTGGCAAAAGTGGCAAGTTGGCAAGAGAAAATGGGGCAAATGCCCACTTTTGGGGGGAAAAAAAGCAGGGTTTGAAGGAATGTGCGAGGGAGTGCCAGCCCTGCGCAGGGGGTAGGCAGTGCTTGAGCAAGCAGCAACGCCAGCCCTGCTTGGGAAGCGGGGGAAGCAGAGCTTGGGCGAGCAACACCAGCCCTGTGCAGGGAAGTGGGGGAGCTCGGGTGACTGGCACGGGCCAGCCCCGCGCAGCCTGGGGGGAACCTCTGTTAGCCCCAGGTGGCGTCCCGTTTTCCCTTTGGGAAATATGGTCATCCTAATTAGGGCCTGCAGCTTGTGATGCAGCAGTGTGGAATGCTGTCCTGGGAAGGGAACAGCCAATGTGAAAGTAGCTTGAGCCTGGGAGGGTATCGGATGACTAGGAAGGAAAGGCAGTTGGAAAAAAGCTGTTAGAAAGAAGGAGAGAAGGAGAAGGATCTAGGTACTGAGTTAGTGGATAAACCTGAGCTGGAGTAGGAGATGAGGTGATAAAAGAAGAACAGGAGAATAAAAGTAAGGGAGTGAAAAGGAAAGAAGGAAAATAGGAAAGCTTTCAGGTCAGGAGAAGCAGAAAAAATTAGAACTGGGCATATTAGCAGATCCTATTAGAGAAGGGAAGTAGGGGGAAATAAAATCTGCAGATGTACTGAAGAGAAACTATCAAGGGAAAAGAACTGGAAAAAATATATATAATTGGTGAAAAAGGGAATTGATCAAAAAGTTGTGTTAGATGAAAATAGATTCTCAAAACAGTAAAAGAGAAGCTCAACCACAAAGGACCTAAAGTAAATGAACAGAGAGAATGACTGAACATCTATTAAAGGAATGCAATTCGAAGGCATCTAATGGCCAAGTGAGAGCCACTAGGTGAAGAAACCCTGCTTGTGGATAAACTTGATGAACAGAGGTACAGCCATAGGATCATTGAATCTAAGAGTTTGGCTACACTTGCAAGTTAGAGCACATTAAATCAGCCCTGTACACCCTAACTCCTGAGGTGTCCACACTGGCAATGCACTTAGAATGCCTGGACTCCAGGGCTGGAGTGCCCCTGGTAATCCCAGGAGCGCCGCCAGCTTTTCTGCCGCCCTAGGCGGCAGAAGGTCCCACCCCGAAATGTCGCCGCCCCCCAAATTGTAGCGCCCTAGGCGACCGCCTAGGTTGCCTAATGGGTTGCACCGGCCCTGGGTAATCCACCTCCACAAAAAGCATAGAGCTTGCTGCGCCCTGGCTGAAACGCCGGGGTGTCAGTGTGGATGACATGTTGCATTACTGCGTTGTGATTGGCCTCCGGAAACGTCCCATAATCCCTTGAAGTAAAGTGGCCACTCTGGTCATTGTTTTGAACTCTGCTGCAGGCATGCGGCTATCCCCTTTCAAAGCTCTGTTTCTGACAGCCGGCATGCTTATCTGCTCGGGGACACAAAGCAAACCATTACTGTGGAATGCTGCTGCTGCAGAGGCTGGCATTTGTGCGTGTGTGTGAGAGAGAGGCGGGAGGTGGAGGCTGGTGTCGGGGTTTCCCTCTGCCACTGTCTGAACTTACAAGACAGCATGTTGACACACTCTCTGCCCCCCAAAGCACACTGTCTCTCCCCCCACATACACAAAACACACTCCCTGTCACACTCCACCCCGCCATTTGAAAAGCACGCTGCAGCTGCTTGCACACTGGGATAGCTACCACAATGCACTCTGTGGCGTTGCAAGAGCTGCTAATGTGGACATGCTACTGCGCTTGCAGCTGACAGTGTGAACACGCAGCAGCGCTTTCCCTGCTGCTGTCTCCGAGGGCTGGTTTAACTCCTGGCACTCGACATCTTAAAATAACATAAGTCGGTCAGGGGATAACTCAGGAGAAAGGACAGCTGGTGGTGGGGCCCAACAGCCACTCGTGCCAACACCACTGACCATGCCGTATTTCTTTGGAGTGCCTTGGTTATCTAAATTTTCTAGTTATGGGAGTAATGTTTCATTTGGAGAATTTAAAACAGTGCTACAGTAATGTTTTGACTGCATGGAGAAAACAGAGATTCTGATTGGGCAATTAGTAGGTACAGCTAAAAAAGAAGTGAGTACTACATGGCTGAAAAATGAAAAAGGGACTATAGAACAAATAGTCAGAAGATTAGGCTGTATGTTTGACACTCGTACCTTGTCAGAACTGAAATAGAGTTTCTTCCCCAGGGTACAAACTCCAACAGAAAGTCTAAGGGTATGTCTTCACTACCAGCCGGATCGGCGGGCAGCGATCGATCCCTGAGCACTTTCCCATCGACTTCTGTACTCCAGCTTGGCAAGAGGCATAGGCAGAGTCGACGGGGGAGCGGCAGCCATCAACTCACCGCGATGAAGACACCACAGTAAGTCGATCTAAGTACGTCAACTTCAGGTACATTATTCACGTAGCTGAAATTGCATAACATAGATCGATTTTCCCCCCTCCCCCCCCGTGTAGACCAGGCCTAAGGTAGTACACATTAGGATTACAGGAGGTTTTACAAGCAATAGAAAAGTTAGAATCTCACGAAGCCCAAGATACTAATAACATGCTGACAGACAAATTCATTGAGGGGTTATATGATGTTATGTATGGAATTAACATTATAGTTAAGACAGAATCTGGAAACTTCCATCCTAGACTTTAAGAAGAGGCTATAAAACTTATGAGAGGTAATGGACAAGTCAGGGTAGTTATGGTATAGCCACAGTATGGCTACAAATATGCTGTTGCCTTGCAGTCTGAAAATGCTAGTCAGTGTGTGGTACAGGCTGGCCAAAAGTCAGAGGATGGTAATTCTGGGACAGAAGAGACTTTTTTGGAGAACATTTAGGAGGGGTATAGAGGGAAATTCAAGAGATGAGACTGGATTTGAAGCAGGAAGTCTTGGCACCTAGAGAATACAGATGCAGGCCACAGTGAGTTGAGATGCTCATAACACAGCCAATAGTTGATTATGATGGCAATCCTATTTGCAGGAGATGCAGTAAGGTGGGATATATAGAAAGGAGATACATGACTAAAAATACTAATGCTGTGGCTTTAAGCAGAAGGTTGTGGATTGGGGGTCGGATCTTGGAGGGACAAGAGTATAGACCTGAACAACATTGGAGGGCAGGCTACTACTATAGGAAAATGCCTGCCTGTTTGTTTGAGATTAATGGGAGAGAAATGTGGGCCTTGCTGGATACCAGGTCACAAGTTATCACATTAGAGCCAACATTTCATGAAATATTAGGCTCAAAATTGTTTATTGACTATTAAGTACAGGGTGAAGTTGGTACCAGGAAATTGTTTGGCTATCCCATGTGTTGGCTACATGGAAGCTGAAATTAGAAGTAGGACTATTAAATATCTCAATCGGGGTATTTTTGTTAGTGATGTCAACAGTGAATGCTTACCACCAACACTCATAGGTATGAATCTACTGCAACATTGTTACGAGGAGCTGCTGCAGGTACTAAAGGATCAGGAGCAACTCTCCATTCAAAAAAAGAAAGTCTGGCAGAATACTTTTAGACATATAAGAAATTATAAAACTTTTTATAATCAATATGGGGAAAGTGAGAATAAAAGAGACGCTTCCCATCAAGCTGCACCCAAATATAGAAACCATTTTAATTTGTAAAACAAAAATGGGTTGACAGGGATATATTGCTTTACTTTGCTGAGGTAAAGAAGGGAATACTACAATAGCTGCAAAAATGTTTTAACGGGGGGAAAGGATTAGTACCAGCTGTGACTCTGAATTATAGGGGCCAGACCTATGACATTATATAGAAGTCAGGTGACTTCTGACTGGGCTGTGCCAGTTATGCTAGTTCAGAAAAAAACATGGGAGACTGTGCTTTTGTGTAGGTTCATTAAAAGTTGAACCAGGTCACCCATAAGGATGCCTATACCTTATTTAGAATTGAAGATTACTTAACAGCATTAAAGTCAGCACTTTTTTTTTTCTACTATTGATTTAGCTAGTGGTATTGGCAAATTCCAGAAGATCAAGGGAAAAAGTGCCTTTGTGACACTCTGGGAGGATGTATTAGGGGAGACTTAGGACTGGAAGGGCTGTCCGTGTCAGGCTGTTCAGGGATCTGAACCACAGCTGCATGGCACAAAGGCCTCCAAGATTACAGGGGAGATGGGCACAGAACCCCTTACTGGTCTAAGTAGTCCCCAAAATGTCACACCATCATGTTAATTACTGTTATGTACCAGATAGATAAGTACAGAAGATGTCTCTCACTCATACTATTTCTTTATACACTTCAAAACCATTGTCAGGTCAATCATTACGCCTTGCTTTATTAAAAGGCAAATTATGTCAAGACACTAATTAGCAGTTTGAGAAACAGCATTGTCTAGTGGGTAGAGTTCTGGAATGGGAATTGGGAGACCTGTGTTCTTTTCCTGGATCTGACATTCTCATACTAAATGAACTTGGGTGGCTTTTCCTTTCTGTCTCTCTGTTTCCCCATCTATAAAATGGGGATCGTAATGTGCACCCACCTCTGCAAGGTGCCGTGAGAACTAAGGATGAAAAACACTATATGAGCTCCAAGTATTATTATTACTGTTTATTATTAAACCTATTGGGGGAAGGCTTGGTTTGTTGTTCCTTGGGATATAATCTACCTTTAAGGGCAAATCCCAGTCATGTTGAAGCACATGGAAAGTTTGCCACTAACTTTGGACTTAAAACTACCCTATCACCAGCACACGCCTTATTCACACAAACTGCCTATTCTTATTATTTCTCTTTTAAAAATATCATAACATATAATGTTCCTGCAAGCATCTCTAATTTGGCCATTGCTTTATAATGAAAATAAAAATATCAGGTGGCAAATGCTTATTTGGTTGAGGCTGTGTGTGTTGAACAACTGTTGTGCCAGTAAAAAACATGCTATTAAAGCAAAATGCCTGGCTGTAAAATACAGCTGATTTTTCCCTACAAGCTCAATGGGGATTTTTGTTGTTGTTTTTGGTATATTGCTTTGTTTGTCTATATTACTGTAAGTTGTTTCTTTCTCATTCTAATCTTTTGTTCTAAATTATGGCAATGACATTGGCCTGGTCGTGTGAAAAGTCTCTTGTTCAATGCACAGATTGTCGGTTTTGGGATGCTGCGGCATTGAACCCAGACAGTTTGGCAGCTGGACTCTCTGATACAGGTGTGAACAGAGCCAACTTCATAAACAATTTCTACACTCCTCCCTTGGTGAGCTGCCTTCTTTGGCTGGAATTCAGTAGCTTTGGAAACAGGTGGATGACCCCAGTGAGAGGTAGTAGAGATTTTAATATCCGTTGCTCTGATTCAGTGAAAACAAAGAAAATGTTATGTGTTGTATATTTAAATTGCTAGTGAAAGTCAGTTGGCAATTTATTTTACTACTTAGATTATGAAATTGACAGACTGCATTTGAAAGAGTAGTATTAGGAGCTCAAAGCTTTGTCTTTCTGACAGAAACATTAAAGAGAAGGCCAAGAACACAATGTATATTTTGATGTTATTAAATGTAACTGTTAAAGAGAGATGAATTTAAGAAAAGATCAAAATCATTGAAGGGTGAAGATAAACTAGTGTGATATACATATGGAGTATAAAGATCTGATCTTGCAAACCCTTGCTTACGTAAACAGTTCTAATATGAATAAGGGTTAGAAGAATCAGGCCTAATATGATGTACTAGTAGTGGTAGTAAGTGCAATTCAAAGGGACACTATCAATTTAAGATCATACTGAAAACCAGTTGTTTTTTTTACTTTGCGCCACCCCCACCCTTACCCTTGTCCGCACCCCCCAGGAGTTAGGCCGGGAGTGGGACCGTGGCTCTGGGAAGGGGATATGCGGACGGGGTAAGAGTGATGAGGCTGGGGCCGTAACTAAGGGCGGGAGCGGAGCCTCAGCTGGGGCCCGCAGGCATGGGGCTGGCAGCCGGGGCCCGCGGGGCTGGGGCCAGAAGTGGAGCTGGGTGGTGCTCCCTCCCTACCCCCCCCCCCGTGGGGGCACGCCTGGGCCCCAGCCTCTCCCTCCCCGAATGTTCCCCTGCACCCCCCAAGGGGGGGCGCATCCCACAGTTTTACCTCTGCTGTAAAAAGACATCTATCAGTGATACAAACGGTAACTTAGATTTTGAAAACTGTAAGAATTTTTAAAAGTACAATTTGTCACTATTTATGCTCTTCTTTTACTCTTTTCATTACTCTTGTCATGGACAATGAAAATCAGTAGTCACTTTCATTTTTGTCTATAGGCATTGCACTGAGGCTCATTGTGCTACAATGTTTGTATTTCTTGTTTCACTTGATGTTTTAAAAAAACCATAAACCCATTTCCATAGGAATTGGGTTTTATAAAAGTTTGTTAGTATAAAATTAAAATTTTGAGCCAGATTTGAGTTCTGTCCCTTTAGCAAGAGCCCTAGGTCTTTATATCCGTGAAAGCCCAGAAATAACTTTGCCAGTAAATTTCTGACTACTGGAAATTTTTAAAGTCGCACTATTTCAAAATAACAATAATCTGTTGCTCAAATCACCTATCTGAGAATCTCAAAATTCATTACAACCTTAATTTAGTTACACAATAAGACCGGGAGATAAGGTCAGAGGGTGTCCAAGGTCAAAAAGCGAGTCAGATCCCAGTGCTAACCACTAGACACATTTTCTCTCTAATATGGACATTCCGTTTTAATATTCAATATGGTAAGTATATGTTTATTCAAAGAAATCGCCCATATTGTTGCCTTAAGAAAGCTACCTGTCTTTAAAATCTTCAGCACAGGCTTGAATGTTCTCCATCTGTAACATAAGACGTGCATTTTCAAGGACTGCGTCACCTACCTAGAATAATGATACAACAGAGTTAGAGCAATTAACTATATTAAATATGTGTATATTGCAAGCATATGCATAATTTTAGATTCTGAAAGTAATTTAACCTTTGGCCTAGAGCTACTCAAATTATTCCATGAACGTGACACCTATTTGTTCACAAATTATCCACGAACAGGGTGTAATTTTTCTTAATTTCTTCATTGTTCACAATTGTTCAACAACTAGTTGTGTAAACAAATTGTAGCTTCTCATTTGCAAACTCATCACCGTGGGTGAAGTTCAGTGCTATGCAGAGGACCTAGCACAAGGCCTATGCATAACTTAAGTTCTACTTAAATCCAGTGTAGAAAGTATAAGTAGGACATAAGTGGTATATGGACTTTGTGCTGGGCCCTCTGCACAGTAGTGAATTTCACCCAGTGAATATTTGCTATTCGTGCCATATGACTGCCTAAATCCTATCATGTTTCAGTTCCCTAATTGTGTGGCATGGCTTCATAAACAGGAGTCTTTTTCTCTTTTCACACAATCTATCCATGAACATCTTCTACTGTTAGACAAAAATACTTTGTGACTGGAAAGAGCTTTTCAAACTGGCCAAGAAAGTAATTGCAGTACAAATCCTTCTTTGGCTATTAATCATAATGTTTTGCTTTCCACATGTTCTTTGTGAATAAAAACACCCAAATGTTTGCAAATAAAAGGGGTTGTGAATTCCAGGAAAGAGCTCAGTTCTGCAACGCTGACTCACATAGAGTAGTACCTTACTCTCAAAATACTTTCGATATATGGCAAGAAACTACTCAACATGAGCAAGAGAGGCACAAATAGCCCTAAGTGAACAGGCAGGTGTAATTCTCAAGAATGTTCAAAAATATTTTGTTCTACTCACCCAGTGCTACTTATGGAACACAGAATTAAAAATAAATCCAGAATGAGTCTTTAGCTTTGCTTTTAATGAAAAATAAATATGCCCGCAAAAAAATGACTATAATAACTCTCTAACTTTTGCATAATATTTAGAGTATGGTACATAAAAGTTTGAGCTGAATTAAAATACTCTAAATTCTGGATATTTTTGTTACCATAGTGTTGAGTGTTATAAACGTCGGGGCTTTCTGTATAGCATCCAACTAAATGCAACGAATGTGGGTGGGACTTGATAGGCAATTAAACCAGATGTTAATGCTCAGGAGTTCTTACACACCAGCTAACACATATCCTCTGGGTAGGTGTTTTATTACCCATATCCTAAGACATTTTAGAAACTCATAACCTTTGAGTTAATGACAAACAAACCTTAGGCATGACCAAAAGGTGTTGGGCAGAAGCTAGATAAATAAGCAGCTGGAGAATAAACTATCCTGCAGTGTCCCCTGGGCTAACACATTCAAACCTTGAAAAATCCACAATGTAATGTTAATTCCATCAAAATGCAAAACACTTTTAGATTACAAAATTAGAGTCACTGGAGACTAAAGTTGATCTACTTACTTACCCATTTTTCTGGCCAGAGGATTTAAGTGGGAACTTTGGGAAAGTGGCTGAAGCATGTGGGTAGGGGCTGCTTCTGACCACTATAAAGTTAAGCACATTAAAAACCCATTCACATCCTCCATCACCACTCGACCCCTTGTCTTCTCTTCCCTGCTCTTCAGCAATCTAGCTCACTTCCACAGGCCTTACACCCTTCCCTCTAAACAGTCGATCTGTCTACATTAATGAGCAGTTCACTGAAGACGTGGCAGAGTGGCAAGAAGACTCTCAGGGGTTTGGTGACATGGTTTTTGCACCTCTGGCCGCAGCTGGAGCCTCTGCCTTCCCTCCCAGAACTCAGGCTCTACTTCTGGAAGGGGAGGGGGAGATGGAGGGACACGTGGCAGCAGTGTGGAGGAAGGGTCTGACACACACAGACAAATGTCCTAGGGAGTCCTACTATGTTGTCCATGATCCAGAGGGTGAATAAGGAGTAGAGCTCAGCCTAGCCTGTTTCTCATCACGAGTGCTGCATCTTTGGCAGTAGCTAGAATTTCTCCCCATCTGAGACACCTACTCTGTCATATACCATCATGCTTTGGGGGGTTGTTTTTCATTTTAAGAATTTTGGACTACATTTTAATTACATTTGAATTTTGATTGTAGCCATAAAACAGATAAATACTGCAAAACATTTTTCTTGAATTTTAAATGAATTAATGTTTGCCATAGGGGAGTCCTTTTATGCTCTGCAGACGGCCCTGCAATCAAATTTTCATTGCAATGTTGCACAGATTTGTGCAAAAACCAATTTTTTTCTTACTCATCCGGTGTACATGGTTAAAATAATTTGTCAAGTATTTTAGAAAAAGAAATAAATTTGAGGAAATTGTGCACATTGTATAACCAAAACAAGACTGCATTCATCAAACTATGCGTTGCAAGTTATTTACTATGCTCTATTAATCACCAAAACATAAGGAGCCAAATTGAAACCTAGTGTAAGAGAGTGAAATTCCTTTGACTCCAGTGAAATTGCACCTGTTTATGTCAGGTGTGAATGTGGCCCAGAAAATGCAAAATTAAGGATCTCACCCTATTTATAACTTTCAGCATTCTGCTTTGCCACCCTGAAGAGCATAAACCAAGTAGTGTCAACTTTTGTTTAGTAGCACTGGCTAAATTCAATAGGTCAAATTCTGGCCACAGTTAAACCCAGGCAATCCATTGATTTCAATGGCAGTGGGGCAAAACTTCAGTGGGGTTGCAAATGAAAGCAAAGTTTGACCTGAAATATCTAGTCGTTTTGCTTTAATTATCTACCTCAACATGGGTTCAAACTCTGCAGAGTCCACAAGTGAAATATGCTTGGTGGTCTTATCCAAGGCCCTAATCCTCAAAGGTATGTGGGCATCTAACTCCCATTCATTTCAGTGGAAGTTAGGAGACTAAATAACTTTGACCATCTGGGCCCAAGTCCCTAAAGAATGTTTGAGCACATGAAAAAGCCACTTCTCTGTGTGGCATGGGTATCAGTCTGCTCTTAGGAAGAGGCTAATCCAAGTCTTTCAGTTGACTTCAATAAAAGTAGGAAAGTTGGATCAGGCACTAAAATAGCAATGGCATTGCAGGTCAGGAGTGAGGAGCAGGTGCACATCTGTGTGGGGAACCTGGCACAATTATGATTTTAAGTTTCTTACTCTCATATGTATCAAATTCATCCAAAAATAATAATAAAAAAATAACTGGTATTTTACCAGAAATGCAGTTCTGAATCCGCTATCATGTCAGACCTCTTCCCACTAACAACAGCAGTAAAAGTGAAACATTACTGCTTTTTTTTCTTTTTTGAAAGAGGTCCTCTTAAAAGGCCTGATCCAAAACTGATTGTAGTCAATGGAAAGACTCCCATTGTCTTAAGTGGGCTTTGGATAAGGCCCATAACGGCTACTGACTTAGTGTATGTTCCTGCTCCATGTTGCTCTGAGTATTGCCATTTACTTCAGAAGAAATGGGATTGGGGCCATAGTAACAGCTGGGCCAATTAGCCTCCTGTGCCAGAAAAAGGATTGTCCAGTGCTTTTGGATTTGGTTAGAGTGGAAGCTTTATTGGCTCTCATGGATGTAGTACAACAGAAAGCTTCAGCTTTGTAGATGTTGTAAAATGTCAATGGATTGCTGCCTATCCACCTTCTCAGAAAGTCAGTCTATCTAAAAATGAATAAAAATATATGTATTTACACTAACCATGTACCCTGAGTAATGGAAACAAACCTGAATAATGGTGTTTTTATTATTCACATCAAATACAATTACATTTTTGTACTTTAATCAGTTCAGTTCAAAATGAAACGGGGCCTCCTGATGTGTGGGTAAAATGGTATAACTTACAATGGAAGCCACAGAGGGGAGTACTTGGTGATTTCCAGCTGGCTGGCTTTATATGTCTTCACTGGGACAAATTGATCCCCGGTATAGCCCACTGGTTTCAATTAAGTTACATATGGCACATTATCTGTTCGAATTATTTTAAGAATAATTACACACATTAGCAGTAGTACCATCTCAGTTTTACTGAGACACTTAG